GTGCAGCATATATTTGATTTTTTTCCATTTATTCTTTTTTTCCTCATTAAATTCTAACAATGTTTATTTACAGATAGACACTTAGAGGTGTTTTAAACTTTTAAATATACAGTTTTTAAGTAAAAAAAAAATCAGATTTTTAACTGTATAGAAATTACCACCTCCTACAGAGGTATTCTGAAGAAAAACTCCTCCAGCTGAATGATGATGCTTGTGGCTTAATCTGTCCTTTGAGATAAGCTGCTCAGTTAGATTTAATAGTATAAACACTAAACATGGCACATCCAGACCAGATTTAATTTTTTATTGGAGCTATACTTAATTTAATCATTGTGAATTATAATTTAGACATTGTTTAAATTTAGATTTGTGCAGAGTTTTAAGCTGAAACTTCTCCAGAAACACATGAATCTTACACACAGAAACAAATCTGTAGCCTGTGATTGACATTTACAGTCAAACTGAGCTCTGTGGTAAAACTGGGCTCTGAACTTTATTTCATTTATTTGTTACTCAGCTAATTTTGTCACTTTCAAAGTACGCAACTCTACAAAACAAACAAAGAAAAATAAAATCTCTACCTGGAAGTGATAACATTTTTATTTTTGTGTTGTTACTTCACAGTTCATGATAAGTTTTGAGTTGTAACTTGCACTTTGGAACAAAAAGACTAAGAAGCACCTCCTGGTTTTAAAGCTCTCAGTGTTAAACTGTGAAGACTTTGCTCCACCACAGTTAAACTGTGATCACATGCTACTGAGTTCTGAAATAAAATCATTAAGTTTAGGTGTGATGTTCAGAGAGGTTGCCAAGAGGTAACTGTGGTGGTGAAGAAGGCTGTACCTCTCTAAAGGTAGCTCCTGGGGACCTAGAAATCTTGTACAGGCCGTAGACAGGTATGCAGATGACTGAGGACAGAGCCATGGCAAAACCAATAGCCAAGGACCAGCCGGGATAAATGTAGTCGTTGTAAGTGATGGGTTTGTACTGGATCACTGTGAAGATCAGGATGAACTACAGGGACAAATGGAAACACAAAACCAAAACAAAAAACAGCTTAGAATCATTTGGATTCACTGTAAATACCACACCAAACCTTATGAATTCATTTCAAGTCATCTTTGAGGTCCAGATGACAGAACAGAATCTAACCCCCATTTCTTTCTTGTACATGTACACACAATGTGACAAAACTGGCATTACATGACCAAAAATACATTAGACTGACAGAAATGGTCATTAAATTTACTCAGTATTTGACAAATTCACACAGACAGACAGAAAGAGAAAAAAAACCCCACAAGAAAAAAAAAACTGTTTTTGTTTTAAAGCTGCAGATAATTAAGATCAAAGATTGTTCCTGGATCCAGCCTGAGCGAGTTCAGTCACAGTTTTAACAGACACCCTGCTGGGCTGAGCCTTCAGTCCAGTGAAACGAAAAAACAGAACAAAAAGTGCCTGAGATCAGGCCGCTAATCCTCACCAATGAATTTCTTGGTCCACTTGGTGGCTTAGAGGACTAATTTGGCTGTTTGGGAAATACCATTGACAGTAGCCGCATGTGTCCATTTCCCACTCACAAAGATTTACTTTGAGCGGTTTATAGTTCAAAAAAAAGCCTACAGTGGGCAAAAGGATTAGCATTACCAGCAGCTGAAATGTAGGTCAGGCAACTAACAACTGGTCAACAACATGAAAAAACACTCCTCTGGACATCTTTGTGTCCTACAGAGTGAAATCTGTGAACAAGTTTCAACACATAACCATAAAACCACAGTGTGGAGAAATAATGACAGACCTCAGAACAGCAGGGTGTTTATGTGCGAGTTAACCTACCGAGATAATGACGGGAGAGATGAATCTCCAGCAGACTTTGAAGAACAGAGGAGGAGGGAAGCCCAGCATCATCTCAACATCTTTAAAATAGTTCCTGTGACCTACAGGACAGAGAGAGGGGAAAAACAAAGAACTGAAACAAGTAAAGATGGAAAAAGACGTGAAGCTTTTATTTGGACCTGCATACAGACTTTTTGTTACATACTGAATAACTAAAATGTTGACCATTTGTGTTGGTTTTAATGCAGCTACACACAGTTTGGACTTTCAGTCCCGAAACTTTAGCTCTGCTGCTGCCTTTCCTACAACCACAGTCCTGACAGCTGCAAGATGTTCTGCTGGAAACTTGAGGTTGACTCATTTTACAACCTGGTGAACAATGACCGCAGACTAATTTGCTTCAACAAGGCTCTGATGAGGTAAATTATTATCTGACACAATGGAAGGATACAGCTACAACATTTGGAACTGTCATTAGAGTCAGTGCTACTAATTTGCTTCAATTAGATTAATGAAATGAACATAATAAACTCTAAACAATTTTCACATCAAAACCTTTTGTACTTTTATCCTTGTGACACAGGGTTGTAAAATGAACCTGATATTACATTATTACAATACTGGAAGCTCTCTAAATATTTAATTTTAAAATATAATCACTGACCTATGAGCTGCATATTATAAATGTTACCATAATGATGTAAGATAAAATATAATTGACTTGGGTTAAGATATTGGTCAGTCCTGGGTCGATATCAGGCTGTAACACAAAATTAAATACCCAGAAGGATCAGGAAGAATTCCAATGTTAAACACTTTGAAAATAAAGATGATAAAGATCATTATTGCTACTGTGATGAAAATTAAACACAATCTGCTAGTTTGATTAGAAAGATATATATATTTTTCTAATTAGCTTTTTATAATGTGATATTTTACACAGTGGATGTTGAGACCTTTGATGCATTCTGCCAATATTTCCAGTGTAAACATAATGCAGTTACTAAATCAAATCAGAGAATAAATTAACAAAACCCCAAAGTTGAAATAAAAAATATATTTTTGGTAATAATATCTCACGGAGCCTGTGAGGGGACATGGGAGAAAAAAAACAATAACAACGGATCCTGAAACTCGGGAAACTCGAGATCCTGAGAAAAAAAAAAAAGTGGGATCCTGAGAAAGTTTCTCACAATCCTGATTTACACAAATTGATGTTATTAGCTGTTATCTCTCCACGCAGACTGTCCCTCGTCTACCTAGTAGCTTGGAAGGTAGCCCACTGATCATTTGTAGCCTACGGCTGATAATATGCATTAAGGCGCAATGGGTTTATCTCCTCCCCCAGGACTCGGAGCTACAGAGGTCGGCCCGGCTCACAGTCCTTTGCCCGGGGAAAGCACTCGATTCAGGCTGTAGCCAGGGGTCGCTCCAGACATTGCTAACAGAGTTTTCTGGGTCTGCTCAGACATGTTTCAAACTTTAATCTGCTGATCTCTGTGGCGTGTTAAACAATTAGCCTACTGAAACTCATGTTTTTAGTTTGATTTATTTGATGATGAGAGAGGGGAATATATTTAATCATAGAAAACCAACAATCAAACCATCAGTGCGATTTGGGTCATATTTCTGTCTGTGGAAGCTAATTGATAGAATTCCCCTGAAAGTTTCATCAAAATCTGAGGTGGATTTTTTTAAATTTTATTTTCATATTTTACAGACAAAGGAGCCCTGCAATGGAGGTTAGCATCAGAGATCGCGTTAATGGAATATTTTCCGTATTTGACCGGTCTTTTTACACTGTGACGGAAAAATCAGAAGGCTGTCCGTCATKTTGACAGATTGCAATTAACACCCCTGACCTAAATAGGCCAGATGAGGTGGATAAAAAAAATCTATGATGCTTCACAAGACAGCAAGCACTGTAGCATCACAGAGACATTTTCAGCTTAACGCACGGAGTAGGTCTAGCCTACATCACGGAGGCGTCTTATTTAATCTAAAATAAATAAAACACTCCCATCTGATCATCATCTCAAATCCACTCGTTTTCTGTTTTTATTTAATATTTTTAACACGGTGGCAGCGGCACATTGTGATTAACAGCTGACTGCATCTCTGCCTTAATCATGCCTTTCCCTCTTCTCTCCTCCTGCAAAGGAGGCAGAGACAGAAATAAGGAGGCATTATCTATTGCTGCAAACTGCAGCCACTAAATAACGTTTGTAGATTTTTTATTTTCTTTTTTTTAACTTTTCGTAAGGTAACTGAGTCAAAAGCAGGGCAGTATGTGTGCGTCACAGTGCGCGTCACATTGTGCGCGTTGTGCCTGGTGTGGAGATGTGCTGTTTTTCAGCACCATGCACTCCTGTGGCCTGTAGTGTGAGGTGAGCTGATGAGTTTTTCCTCCTATAAAATCCTGCAGGCGCTGCATCTGAGGCAAAACTGCAAAACCAACATGACAATAGCCACATTCTATTAATTGTTTAGTCATTATCATTTCACAAAGGAAGTGACGGGTAAAAATTTATTTTTGTTTACCCTGTCAGTCAAATTGACGGACAGCAAAAAAGTCAAGCGCAACCTCTGAGTAAGCCTCCTCTGCCCTCCTGTCCCCTCTTCTGTTGTCCAGGAAAGAGAATAAACATCCCAGAACCGCTGGACAAGACCTCCAATCAGCCAAAATGTCACTGGAGTGCTTTGTTTGCGGCATGACAACCCGATCGGAGCCGTGCGCCCGCTCGTGCTCTGTATCATTTCAAACTTTAATAAACTGTTCTCTGTGGTGTAATAAACACTTTTAAAGAGCAATAAAAATTTCCTGAAAGTTTAACATAAATCCATTTGGTACTTTTTGAGATATAAACCTGAGAAGGCAGCTGGCTAGCTTTAGCAAAACTACCCCGTTGTCAGGGAAACCGTAAACTTCCGGTTATGCTGGGTGGTTGTGGGTAATGAAGTTCAAAGTTGGAGCATGAGCCGGGCTGACCCACATCCCGGGTGAGGAGATAAACCCACTTTGTCTTAATGCATATCAGCCAAAAAATGATTGATAAGTGCCTTCCAAGCTAGGAGGTAGAGGAGGGACCATCTGGACAAAATGTGTGGGACTGATAATCTCTAATAACATTCATTTAAGTAAGTCAGGATCCCAAGAAAGTTTCTCAGGATCCTGAGAAAGTTTCTCAGGATCCCGACTTTGTTTCTCAGGATCCCCAGAAAGTTTCTCCGGATCCAGAGAAAGTTTCTCAAGATCCTGACTTTCCTTCTCAAGATCCCGACTTTCCTTCTCAAGATCCCGACTTTCCTTCTCAAGATCCCGACTTTCCTTCTCAAGATCCCGACTTTCCTTCNTCCCGACTTTCCTTCTCAAGATCCCGACTTTCCTTCTCAAGATCCCGACTTTCCTTCTCAAGATCCCGACTTTCCTTCTCAAGATCCCGACTTTCTTTCTCAAGATCCCGACTTTCTTTCTCAAGATCCCGACTTTCTTTCTCAAGATCTCGACTTTCTTTCTCAAGATCTCGACTTTCTTTCTCGGGATCCTGAGAAAGTAAGTCAGGATCCTTTTTTTTTCTCCCATGTCCCCTCGCGAGTTCCGCAATATCTAACACATTGCCTGGCCAAACAAATAAACAAACAAACAAATAAATAAAGGTTGCCACCTGGATTTAACCAGAGTCTATGATGTGGGGTTACTGCAGCTGGTTGGGTCTAGCTTCAGCAACAGTTTGTGCTCAAAGAATGAGGTCAGCTGATCTGAATATACCGAATGACCAGGTTCTTCCATCAATGGATTGTTTCTTCCCTGATGGCACGGCCATGTTCCAAGATGACAATGTCAGGATTCATGGGACTCTTATTGTGAAAGAGTATGAGCATGAGATATCATTTTCACACATGGATTGGCTCCAGAGTCCATTGAGAATCTTTGGGATGTGCTGGAGAAGGCTTTGTGCAGCGGTCAGACTCTACCATCATCAATGCAAGACTTTTTTTGGCTAGGCAGTGTATAAATGATCAGCAGCAGCCTACTTTCTAAATGTTACTAAATCTTCAAGCAGCCTGCTTTTGTTGTCATGTTGTTCCGTGGTGCTAAGATGTGTCAGGCCTCGAAACCAATAATTAACCTAATATACCCCTGTGAGTTTACATATGTTTCTGCTGAACAGATGGGGTGGCCTATTCAGGCACACTTTGATAGAATAAATTACTAACTTTGTCTTCAGCACAAAGACTTTTTCTTTTCAAGTTATTTTAATGTAGATATAGAACAGGGAACTAAAAAAACGACGCTGCAAGACAAGGAGAAAAGTTCAAAAAGTAGAAGTTCTATTTAGGATAATGAAGCAGGATGAATGGCTTTTATTCTTCTGTTCTCTATTTAACTTCACTGATTTAGCTGTGATGCTTTGTTCTTTATCCCTCATTTGAATCTTCATATTTTTGTTCAGGCATTTTTAAGGAACAGTGTAATAATAAAGATTTTGACACACAATAAGGTTTGGCTCTACTTTCCCTCCTTACCATAAACATACATGATGCAGATACACATGATGCAGGAGATGATGACCAGAGAGAAACTGGCTGCATAGTTGTCCATCAGCAGCAGCCAATAGATTCCTGCCTGTTAAAGACGAATAAAAAAAAAGAAAAACAGAAACCACTTAAATCATCTTCATGGAAGAAAATGATTTGCATTTCAAGCAGTGTCTTTTTTTTTACCTGTGTTGTTAGGGGCACCCCCAGCAGGAAACCCAATATAGCAACAGACAGCGTGATGACGGTCTTGTTCCTGATAATCCAGTCAGTGCCAATCTCGTCCACGATGGCCGTCACCAACGTCTCCAACAGACAGAACTAAAAAATAAATAAATAAATAACAGGCATGGAAAAAAGGGGTTAAGAATCAAATTAAAATCGGAGCTTAGACTGAACAGTGATTGCTCAGAAACGTATTTCCCTGACATGAAAAGAGTAGCAGAAGAGTGATGGCTCCAAACAGATGATTACAGACAATCATCCACATTGACATTTATACACTCAGTGATTCAGAGAATAAAATATGTCATTCAAATTTTGACATTTTAGATGGAGAATATCTTTTCCTTTGCGATGGATGACATTTTAAACTGAATTAAATTGACTAAAAACAGTTGAACTTTCCTCCAATATATACTGAATTTACTCTGCACTTCCTAAATGTCTAAAACTGTTGACAAATTCTTATTTTTACAATAATTTATATTTTACATGTATCTTAAGGCTTTCCCTTAAGATGAACCCATCTTTAAACACACTTTATTCAAGAATAATTAATTTAAAAATCATTAATGGAAACAAAAATTCTTAACTTACTGACATGAATAGCTTAAATTTTATTTAGTAAAAGAAAAAGGCTGTCGTGGTAGAAAAACATAGAAAACTCAAGGACAGTCAAAGAAACACAGGGAAAAAAACAGAGGGGTCCAATAATGCTCGACTAGTGACTAATAAAAAAAAACAGAAGGGTTGTATGGACAGGAGCTGATTGAAAGAGTGGCAGCAGCTGCGATTAATGATAGTGAGAACAGGTGTACTCGTGCATGGCAGACTGACTTTGGGAGAACTAACTGAATAATGAAATCCAAATCAATGTAGTTTATTATGCTTTTATTATTTGTTTTTTTTTTTTTTATCAAATTAGATTATCTACCTACCTACCTACCCACCCACAGGCCTGTGTCACAGAACAAAGTATTGTCTTCTCCGTCACAGTTTAGCAGGAAGTTGGACTCCAAAATGCAGACTGACATGAAGATCTTAAACATATGACTAACATTGTATTTACATAAAAAAGGGCGTCTTGGCAGCAAACTTTACAAAATTCAAGATAGTCACAAGGAGACACAGGGAAAACCAGATATGTCAGAAGAACCAATAATGCTCAACTGGTGAGTGATGAGAAACAGAAGGCTTATATGGACTAAGAGGTGGAAGGAGTGACTGTAGCTGTGACTTATACAACAGAAAACAGGTGTACTTGTGCATATCAGGCTGACTTAAGAGGCAGAAACTAACTGAGAAGTGGTCAATGGCACAAGGAAAACACAAGGACTAATCAAATGAAAACACAAGTTGCATAACTAAACAAACTAACAGAAAACACACAGATTCAGACTCTTACCTGAGTTCCTAGTCCCAGAAGGATGAGCATGAAGAAGAACAGCAGCGACCAGAGTGGAGAGATTGGCAGCAGAGTGAGGGCTTCTGGGTAAGCCACAAAGGCTAGTCCTGGGCCATGGTCCGCCACCTCGGACACTGGAACGTTCAGGTGGTGTGCCATGAAGCCCAGAATGGAGAAAATCACAAAGCCAGCGTACACACTTGTCGCACAGTTTGTTATACTGATGATAATGCTGTCCCTGTGTGAGGTAAACAAAAAGAACAATTTTTAGTAAAGGGGTAGTTTAAACTGTAAATCAGAGCACACATGGCATTAACAGATGATGAATCATTGATATTTATGATATTCATTTACTAAAAGTTCTCTATCAAGTAAAAAAAACAAGAAAAAGGAACAGGAGTTCAAAGCTACGCTTCAGCACTTTATTATCAATACTTAGTAGCTCCTCTTCTTGTCTTTTAATTTCACTGTTTGTAAAATGTATTTGTAGCCATCTTCCAGTTCTTGTTTCATAGGATTTTCCTACTTCAAGCCCAAAATTTATACATCTGAGAAATTAAAAGGCAGTTCTTGTTTGTGTAAAAACCAAGAAAATGTAAGGGCTGAAGCAAACAGCCGGTCATTTTAAATGTAGTTGCATTTATAACAATAGAAAACCAGTTTTAACCTTAAGCTTTTTGGACAAATGAACTGAAATGGACTCTCGCCTCTTAACCTTATTTCTCGAGCTTCAAGACAAATTCAAAGTACAATTGATTGGATCAGCAATGTTTTAGAAAAATCTGGATATCGTAAGATAAATTTGCGCTTTATGTCAGAAAAGCTCTAATGTAATTGTATCAGTCCCCAAACCTGAATCCAGTCCAAGTTTGTTGCAAAGACTTTGTGTGTTTTTATTACACAAATGATTTCTGAGTGGGTTTTGCTGCAGAGTTGAGCAGGGCAAAAGGTCAATCCAGATTCAGATAAATGATTTGGAAATTTATTCTGCAGACTTGCAAACAGCCACGACTTGTGTTTGGCTGTAAAAGCAGACTGATTTGTAAAGATTTGAATAAACCCTTATGAAGTTGACAAACTTTATCTCTTAGCTGGCCTACGTTCAATGAGCTGAACCAGATTAGATGTCAGAACAGTGAACGCTGCTGCCCTTATTCTGACAACTTCAGCTGAAGGATATCTGCAGAGCCTGTTTCATCCATCCTGTGTCCGGCACCTGTTTGGCTTTGACTTTGTTCAGATTCAACGAGGGAATAGTGCTTTTCCTCTCTCACATTTCCTGTTAGGGTTACTGCAGAGGATGTCTTTGATAACTTTGATGCCCGTTTGTTTCTCCACCCATGAGACTCCTGCGCTGTCCTTCACTCTGCACTTCTGCATGTGCACCAAATGGTGGTGTTGCAGGGAAGCAGGAGGTGCCACCATGGGGATGGGGCTGCAGAAAACAAGCTGATTAGCACCTCCATGCAGCTGTGTGGTCAGATAGCACTATCTCAGGCTCCCGGTTGAAAAAACAAATTATATCTTCAACCTTCTTCTTCGGCCACTGCACACTCTTCAACACTTTTCCCTGTCAGCATGTGACATCCTTAAATTTAACCTTCTCTAAGCTTTTTTTTTTGCTCACTCCCTTGTTGCCCAAGCACAGAGCAACCAGCCTCCTAACACACATTGAAAAAAGCTTTATCTCCTGACCTTTTTCTGTCAAATAGTATCACACCTTCTCCTGCTTATCTTTAAACCTTGAAATTGGCTCCAGGCTTTTTGAACTTGGTGCTCTGCCATCAACATTTGCTCTGGGTCATTAGAGAAAACAGCTGCATTAAGTTAAACACAGGCAATTATTGGACTTTTTTCTGATTCCTCACAGAAAGTTTAGAACATGCAAGCAAATTTTACTGCAACTACACCAGCTAACATGGTCCAAACTAACTCAGCTCATAACCATCCAAGACATTTTTCTTTTGTTTTGATCATATAGAAAGATTTGCACTGCTGTACATTGTGTGCTCCTTAAGTAAGGGGTGCAGTGTGCAGTATGTGTCCAGGCAATATAAAACAGCAGTGACAAAACAAAGGTTAACAAACCACAACACATTTAAGGGTCATCCCCTTCAAATATACAAAAAAACAAACATACATAACTGTTTGTTCTGACCAAAAAAAATAAATGCTCCTGCCACATGCAGAGAAGGAGCTCTCTTTTTTTTAAACACCCAACAAATTAAATACCAGAGTTGTAAAGTAACTAAGTACAAATACTTTTTTACTGTACTTAAGTAGAATTTTTGGGTATCTGTACTTTACTTGAGTAATTATTTTCAGCCTACTTTTTACTTCTACTTCTTACAATTTCATACAGTTTACCTGTACTTTCTACTATTTACATTTTTCAAAAAGGCAAGAAGTGGAAAGTCGTTACTTTTATTTCGTTTTGCTTGTTTTTATTCCAGCTTGTTATTGTAAAAAATAATACTATCCATTTAAATTGTGCCTCCTAGATAGAGTGTATTTTTAATCTTACTCTAAATTTTAGATTATAGTGGTGATAGTGGACCAGGTTTTCCTTATTTTTAGAGGGCTTGGGTCAGGGCTAATAACTGACAAATATTTCAGTCAGAGTGGTTTCGAGTGGCTGGGCTCTGTATGCTTTGAGGTAAATAAGACTGTCCCACTTCTATTAAATAAAACACACTCAGCCTTATTTTTACTGATACATGTTCAAGCTGTTCAGGTTGTTCACTGCTTCACTCCCTGAAGCAACTGAGCTGATAAAGTAAATAGTGACCCATCATATCAAAATGAGGATTAAGTTAAATTTGGTCAAAATGACCTAACTACGTTTTCAGATTCCTGGCTTTAAAAGCTACATTTTGATACTTGGATCATCCTGATATCATTAGTAGATCCAGAGGTATGACTTAATTGGTCTTGTTGGTCGCATTAATACATTACTGTTTGGTCT